TTTCCACTCGGGAAGAACCCACTCCTGATCCTTTTCTTTTCTACGAGACGAAAATTTTAGTTGAAGAATAATGTGGAAGACAGCACTGCAATTTATTAATTTTTTTCATTATTACAAAGTGTGACAAGGGTTTAATTTACCAGCAATGTTAGAACAAAATCTCAAGCTTGACACATACTAGGAGAACAAACCTGTCTGGGTAGCCAGGCTCACAGCTAGGAGCTCTCAAGACCATAGAGGCTTCCTTACTTCCAGGCAGGCCTTTCAGTTTGCATCAGGTCCTATGCATTCCTGACTAGCAGTTTTGCTTTTCAAGTTCATGGCACAGTTCTGGCCCTAAATTTGTTTTTGACAAAGCTCTGACTTTAGAAGAATCCATGTCTCGGGCTGGGAGTGCAGAAAAGGGCAGCGTTTCACCTCTCAAGCTCTGTGCTGCAACCTAAATACAAAATGTGAAATATAACAAACCTCTGACCTCAGCCTTTATAGCCTGATCATCACTACTTTCATTTTTTCCCCACTCGTTTTTCAAAGGAATTAAGTAAAAGCCACATCAAAGAAACTTTAAACCAGTCATGAAATATCAAATTCTGATTCCTACAGCAAACATGACAAAACTGTTACACATAAATACATTAACGTTAATCCCACTCAGTGATCTACAAGGTGCTATTTCTGCCAACAAAACAGTCGAGTCATAACTGTCCTCGGGGCATTAAAGTGGAGTTCATCCATTTTGGTGCATTTACAGTTTTGGCTTCTGAACACTACTAATACCTCCAGATCTAATAACATGAAGGGAATTACAGAAACAGAATGTCTAAATGATTGGAATTGTGACCTTGTATCTGAATTATCAGAAGCTCCAAATGCAAGAAGCAAGTGGGTTACAGAACACAGAACCACACTGAAACTCTCCAATTATTAAACAACTAAGCCCTGCAATCCTAATCAACACACTGAGGAGCTGTGCTTACTAGCTACCTCTTCTTCAGCTGAAAACTGGTCTCAAGAGAAGACAAGGAGGAGGCTAAAAAACATTGAAAAGTGTGGCAGATTCTAGAGGGGTCAAACCACATCGTGACTCCCTGACACACCCCTGGTCAGAACAAGTCTGCATGGAGTAGCATCAGGTTGCTTTTGCATTCTTTCAGCTCCCAGTAAAGAGGAATTGGACTGCTCTTCCAAATCCCCTTCAGAGTTAAAATACAACCACTTCACCATCGCCAACTTTCCAGCCAGCCAGGGAAGTGCTTCGTCTCAGCCAGGAGGAGCTGCTAGAGAATGAGCTAAAGCTGCCTAGTCCAGAAAGCTGGACTACATGGCCTTCAGTGCCCTTCCCAGCTGTTTTCCCATTCCTGATCCTCCACAGAAGACATCATGCTGACACCGGACTGACAAAATAGCTATTGCCTTACTACTTTAGGAGGCAGGTATGATACACATTCTTAGACTGCCAGTGACACCACCCCTCCAGCATTACAGCACCCTCGACAGCTGAAGTTAAACTCTGCGCAACTCCCCTGAGACCCTTTATCAGGCCCAGGGTTTCTCTGCAGCCTGGCTGACACTTTTGGTACTCTCGCTTACAGGACTTGTCAGGTGGGTGGGAGCTGGGCCAGATCATCCTGCAGGTGGTCAGGCTGTGCTGCTGCGGCTGCCCTGCAACATATCCTTTCTGTGTGCCCGCGAGGAGAGGGTCAGCAAGGCCAGAGATAAAACCAACAGTGATTTTCCACTGCTTTGCCACTAGATAGGAACCCTATAACCCCTCTAAGGTAACCAAAGTCAGTTTCTAGACTCTGTCTGAGAATTAACCAGTGTAAACTAGAGATTAGATCCAGCCTTTGACAGCAAGGTAAGCTCGCTGAAAAGCCTCCCAAATTACAGTTGTGGTTAAAGCAAATCATCTTCCAGGATGGAACAATAGAAGATTTTTCCTTCTAAGAATCAGTTATGGAACAGACTCTGGAGGAGAAAGAAACACTGGGAAAAAGGACCAGAAAGCAAAATTCAAATCATTAATTTGGTCACATGTTTCTGAAGAAATAAAGACTAAAGCTCCATATAAGCTCAAGTATGTAAGTGAAACTTCACATAATTGTAAATGTGTAATGAGCAGATTATATTCATGGTAATTAGATAATCAAGTTCAAAGCCACAGCAGCGCATCAGAAATGGCAAAAAGGTTTATTTTTAAATACTTGATACCGAAAATTTGTGGAGCACAAATCAAATCTGCAATGCATAAGAGGCTCTGCTGCTTTGATACACATAAATTTCCCTCCATGCCTCTGCATCTGCCAAACCACCTTTTCACACTGGTGGCCACAAAGGGTTTCCTTTGCTCTCCAGCTGCTGTGTTTCCATGCACATTCTCCCTACCAGAAACAGCAGGGTGGACAGCCACAGCTAGAAGCACTGCTGCTGGGGGTAAGCAGGTTGTTTATTTTTAAGACCATGCAGTCTCCTAGATGCAGTTTTGCCAAAAGGGCAGCTCACCAGTTGCTACAGCACGTACTCTGAGATACAGGAAATGATCCCGGTATAACCAGAAATGTCTTGGGTACTACTGAACACAGTTGCTAACAGTCATCAAAAGGGAGACGAGATGAGCAGGGCCTCCCTGCTCTGTCACGGATCGCTGAGCCCAAATAGGTCAGCCCTTCCTTTCTCAAACTTTCTGCTTACAGATGCACAATCCATGAGGCCAACCTCCTCCATTGCCTTGCCTCTGCTCCCTAGTACCTAAAGTTGGGCTCCTCTGCTCTTGTCTGCCTGTTTCAGACAGGCAGCTGGGAGTTCTCCTTTGCAGACTGTTTGGTCCCCAAAAACCCTTTAAGGATGTTATTCCCTGACTC